ATTTTATTGCATGCAACATAAGGAACAAACGTGCGCCGCACACTTGCACACTCGCCCATTTGCACCAACGCAACATGACGTGCCGCTATGCGCCCGACAACCCAACAACCTGCCAATGCCTGCCCGACTGTACGGCCATCCGGCTGCAGGCCAAACACAGCAGTAGTGCAACAACTGTTCCAACAAGCGATAACCTTTTGACTTTGGCGCACATCACTTGTGCTAAAGACGCTAAAGCTTCGAGCGAATTTATGTTGCACCAACTGACAAATTGAATGAATAAAAGAGCTGCAAGTGGTCGGACGGACATACGAACGTACAGACGAAAGAATAGAAAAACTAGCCAGCGACTAACATCCGATCTAACAAGTAAACAAACTTTGCGGCTTGAGCTGTGGCAGTAAAGCTTGGCAGCATACATCGACTACATATGCGTGTGCTCATGCACATGATCGGCCCCTTTTTGCTAATAAGCAACATTGCAACGCCTTACTTGTGGCAGCGGCGAGCAGCAATATTCGCACAAAAAATATAAATTGGAAATCTTATGAATTTTCCGATGCATGCGGAAAAGATTTTAATTTTTTCTACAACAGGTTATAGTTTTGCATGCCAACTGTGCACGCCAAGCAGAGTTGCCAATTTCTTGTCGAACTTTGAACAAGCGGTTAGTTTGTGATAAATTGTTGGCGCCTTAGAAAACAGTAGGGTCTTAAGGTAAGTTTCAGCGAACTCCTTCTTTTTAATTTGTCCCAAAGCAGATAACAGGCTGTAATAAGGGGTACCGTATACTCGCTAGACGATAAACGATATTATCAAAGTCTACTGGCTAGTGTTTATATCAAAATTGCCATTGTCGGAAAGGTCTTATAAACGACTGAGTGAGAAATCAGTAAACCAGTTACACTCAAAAAAGATTTTCTGTATTTTTTTTTTTGTTTTAGAGGGCACAATGGCATATGACTTTTGAAAACTACTTTCAAGTGCTAAGAGAAGCACTTATTAATAATGCGTAAAGCGAAGAGAAATATTTATTCGGGCTGGTAATGTTATCGATAGTAAATTTCTGTCAAGAAATTTCACATCAATTAAAAAAAAACACAATTTTTCTCTTGGCCATATCTGGGCGATTGTTTCCTTCCGACGGTTCAACTGTTGACAGAAAAGGTCCGAGAGTTTGGCTGTAAGGTAGCAAAGCATAGTAGATGAATCGTGGGAAATCAATAATCCAATTACACTGATGATGTCGTTGTGCATATATTTAAGACCCTTTTACGTCTTTCGATTCAAATACACTATGTACTACCATCACTGAGTACATCTGCGGATCTGCTACTATATATGCCTTTATTTTTTCACACTAAGAGTATTTACTACCGGGTATTGAAACTAGGATTCTATTCGCTGATAAGACAGAGCATAGCTAGCTGAGTTCTGGTTCGTATTTGACGATGGTTTCATCAATTTCATAAATATGTTTTTCCAGTTTTTGTGTGTAATCATATATATTGATAAAGAGGATTGCAGCACCGAATCAGTGTTGTTTTTGAGTCCGAGCATTTTTTGGTCGAATTGTATGACTATATTCCATATTATCTAAAATATTAAAAACAAACTATGCCGTTAACTAAGTCACAATACCCTCGCGTCATATATCATGCTTGACTATAAATGGAAAACTATGATAAAAGTGCCGCGCTCAAACCCGAACCACTCCGCAATTGTTAATAACGCCATTGGCAACCACTTTATAGAAGGAGTATTTATCCATACTCATACGTGTACATATGTACTTAAGCACATGTGCATATTCATATGTGAATTATGTATACTCAATACCGGCAATTTCTCTTTTTCACTTTGGCGCAGCGCATTACATTTTTATGAATTCATTTTGGCTACGAATCTACGGCGTCCTACAGCTCGGCACAATAGAAGCGGGTGTTAGCAAAAATATCGGAAAAAAAAAATTCGCATAAAAAATATTGCTAATAAGTTATAAACATGGTTGTAGGTGCATCTCTGCGTGTATATGTAAAGAAACACATTGATGGAGAAACACAGCGGACAGCGGTCGGAACTGCTTCGGCGTATGAAGTTGCCGCAGGCGCCCTTCTTCCATGCATTACAAGCAGCTCCGCCTCGGCACAACAATTGACCATATGGTGCTGCAGTCGCCAATTGAACCGCAATAAGCTGTGAATCTTCTCACGCGTGTTGCAAAATCAAATACGGATGGCTATAAACATATAGGTGAGGATAATCACCTTTGGTTTTGTACAATAATGCCTGGGCGTCAGTTCAAACTTTTCGAAAACCAGAATTACAGAAGTCTTTTGAATGAATAAATGTCTAAGGTTTAGAAATATGTGAGCTTCGAGTGTTACGAAACTGTTAAAAAGTTGCTCTGACCGCTGCGAATGTAAATTACTAACAACTTAACATTTCTCTCATTCTTCAAGGAGAATATTCAAATTCCGCTTAAAGCAATCGGTCGCTGCTCTAAACTTAAGATCTTTGAAATGTAAAAACATATTTCCATTACTAAAGTCGAATAAACCATCTGATCAATATCTTGTTAATCATCAAAGTTCACAACTAAACCACATTGGTTAACGTCATACATACTTAAATGGCTTGAGGCAGTCTGAGAACTGTGAGTTTTTATCGAAAGTCGTCGACATGGTCAAACATACTGTGCTACGAGAAGCCTTAAGAGATCCCTACTTCCACTAACATTGATAAAATAGCGCACAAACAATTCGAATAATGTTGTGGGATCAAACCATTTTTTGTGGAGGATGCACTAGCGTTGCCTCACGAGACAGGAGTAGCACTTGCATTTAGTGTTAGATCAATTGAAGCTTTAATTTACTGGGTATAACTATTCGAAGAAGTGAGATGAACTCGGCGGCGCGCCTTATTTAATACGACAGTGATCTCCGGCGATCGTAATTTCGAATAAAAATAATCAAAATGTATATCGTCAAGTTAGCCCCGCATCGCTTTATGGCTTTCTGCAGTCTAACAATTCTTATAGTTAGAGTCTAAAGCAAAAGAGATGGATTTTAAAAAATATTTCAAAGTTAGCGTCATATTTTTTTTTTTCTCTGTTAATATTATGTATTATTGACATGTGTGGTAATTTTATCATAGCTGGCGGTCTTAGCACGTATGCGCCGAAATTTCCCTTAGCTCATTAACACTTAAGTCAAACGAAAAGCATTCGAGCTATGGTTAGCCCTTCGCGTTGACCAAATGAACGGGAACACACGCATCGGTTCTCACGATTATATCCTCCGATACCGATACTGTAAGCGCTGACGAAAGAACAAAGCAAAACACAAAGGATGGCGTAAATAATTTCGAGTGCAGTTCGTTCGGGGCAGTACCGCAACGGCATAAATGTTCTGTATTCTGTTAAACTGATACAACAACAACACAACATAACGCAACATAATCAAGGCATTGCAATCTGTTGTGGCATTGTCTTTATGTGGATAAGGCTGGGCTGAGGTGAATACGCGTATAGGCATAAGGCACGCAAGTTAAAAGATCAACATCCGCGCAGATAATCTACTGGAGCGCAGCAAAGCGATCCAACGCTTTGGAAGTATCAACAGCATCGAAAAGAGGATAATCGATAAGAGCACATTAAAGCCATAGCGTTCGTATCTATCACGATTGCGCAGAAGACGCACGAAAAGACCTTGCCGCAAGTAAGCGCCAAACGACGTAAGCACCATACACACTTGTACAATATATACAAGTATGTATGCATTTTGTTTGTAGCCGGCAATTGAAGGAGACGCAGGCTGACTCAGAGCCTGGCGCGCTCTGTGACCAGATGTGTCGTGTTGCCTTGCTTTCGCGTTGCTTTTACGCAGCGCGCGTGATGCCAATGCGAGTGGCCGAAATAAAGGGGTACCACTCTTTTAATTATGGGTTATTATGAGGGGCAGGATATGCGCTTGAATTGCTCATCATCATCATCATTGTGTGCAGCAAACGCGTATGGAGGAAAGTGCATTGTGTGTTTGTTGATTTTTGTGCGCCCATAAATACTTAATTTTAACATTACCGCGTTGTTTGTTTTTGTTATATTTTTTATATATTTTGTACTTTGTATGAATACGTTGTGACCCAGAGACGTGCGGTTGCAAGACCTGTAATTGCTGGGGCACGCACCCTGCAAATATTGTTGTTTATCTGTCTGCATGTACTTCGCGCTGCCATCGTTGTTTGTTTTACACGGAGCTAAACGGGTGTTGTGTCTGTATATACAACTTTTAAGAATATTGTCAGTGCGGCGTTGACCTGGCGTCACACGTCATGTTGGGCCATTATGCGCATTTGTAATCGAGTGTGATCCATCATCGATCATTTAGGCTACGTGATGGCCTGCCTGTCGTCACAGGTTTCGCTGTAGTTGCGACTTGACGTAGATTGATGAAGTTATTTTTCACGCAATTATAGCAATTATGTCATCAATATTTTGGTAAAGACCAAATTGTGTGAGACAGAAGTGGAGAAGCGTCAGCCTCAGTCGTAGATATGTATAAATATTTCTTGTATTCTAAAGGTTAACACCCTAACGGTTTATAACAAAAGTTTTTCGAAATTTCCCAACAAAAAGTCGAGACGCCTAAGATCCTGACTTCGCATGCTGATATATCTTCCAAATATATTTTATTATCAAACTTAAAGAGTTGCTAACCTCCTGTCCTGTACTGTCTGACACACAAAATAGTAATAGATAGTAAATAGAGCGAGCATGATAGAGTGATAGCTAAAGAGAGATAAGAAGTTCTGGTAGTCCAGTAGCTAGGTTCTCGGTGATGAGCCTGAAGTAGAAGGCGCCAGATTTTGGTAAGAGCGTAAGGGTTTGCTTGTGGAGAGTTTGGGCTGAAAATGGTTTCATAAATTTCGGTCCGGTTACAACTTCACCACCACCAATCGGAATGGGAACATTAACTCTACAGCAATAACAACAATACATAGAGCTTTCACTATACATTTCAGTAATAATCAATTTACAATTATATATTTTTTTGGATTTTGGAACAAAAAAGTTTTATATAATATAATGTGTTCTAAGTACGAGCAAAAAAATGTTAGTTATCGTTGTCGTCTTGCGTAACTGAACTGCGTGCTGATGATTCTACCTCATAATAGTCAGCCACGAGCTGACAAACGTTTTGCGATGCTTCCGAGAGACTGCCCTCCTCCATGCCCTCTCCCACAAAATGATACACGAAGGCACGCCGATTGTACAACTTATCATACTTACTAACCAGCCGACACCAAGCACTGCGAATGATTGTATTGTTGGAAATCGCACAGACGGCACGAGATGTAGGCGCTAGGTCGCCACCCGGTACAAATACCGGCGGCATGGCATTAACGCCAATTTTGAACCCAGTGGGCGTCCAATCCACGAAACGTGCAGTACGAGATGATTTAATATGTTGGATGGAGGAGTTGATATCGTTCGGCGAAACGTCACCTCGGTAAAGGAGTACACAAGCCATATATTTGCCGAGCGTCGGATTACAACGCACCATTTGACTGCCCGGATGAAAGCAGGACTGCGTCAGCTGCTCAACATTACTGTTCACATAGGGAAACTTGCTGACCGGCACCAGCGGCGCGTAGGTAAGCAGTGGATAGTGTATGCGTGGATAAGGCACAAGATTTGTTTGGAATTCCTCAAATGATACATTGTTCGTGCCATAAAAGCGCTGCGACGCTGTGAATGCGGAGACAACCTGGAAAGAGAGCGATTGATATGAATGATACACCTGCGCAGTGATGTCGAACTTTACCTGTCCTATAATACGGTTCAAATTGGTATATGTGGGCGCTGAAACACCAAGCTTCGTATCGCAGATTTCATACAAAGCTTCGTTATCCACAATGAAGGACACATCCACATAGTCCATCGAATAGTGTGTGGCCAGCAAGGCATTATAGGGTTCAACAATAATAGGCGAAAGTCTGCAATGCGATAAGTGGCCGTTAATTTAGTTTTGAGATAGTAAAATGTTTCTTTGTTTTCTCACGAGGGAGATGGAAATACTAGAAACTCGGCTTTTGTTGTCTTCCTGCCATAGGCGTCGGCCAACTTTTCCAGCAATAGCGTGCCGAAACCTGAACCGGTACCGCCACCAATGGCACGAAATATTAGAAAACCACGTAAATTCCGACACTGCTCTGAAACTCGTCGTATGGCATCCATTGTGCGATCAATGAGATCGTGGCCGAGTAGATTGTAGCCGCGTGCAAAATTGCTGCCTGCATCCTCCTTACCGCTTATGAGGGTATCCGGATGAAAGAGATATCTGTAGGCGCCCGTGCGTATTTCATCTAGAGCGTGCATAGAAATGTTGGAAAACGATTAGAATGTACATGTAAGAAGTGATAGACATTTTCGACAGCTTCTACAAGCCTTTACCACACACACCGATAACAGTTGGCTCAGTGTCGACGATCACAATACGTGGAACCACTTTTAGCGCCATGCCTGAGATGCCGAAAAATGTGAGAAACGAATCGTCGTTCGGCATTTGGCAGAGTGCACCATTCGCCATGATTCCATGTTCGAGACAATACAACTCCCAGCAGGCATTTGCTATTTGTACACCAGCTTGTCCAATATGAATTTGTATAATTTCACCCTAGTGGCATAGTCGACGAGAGCATGTGAAAAGGTTAGAGTTCATTTGATGAAAATGAGATACGAAATATTTGTATAAAACTTACGCGGCTTGACATTTATTGTTGTAGCCTTCATAAACTGTGAATGTTGTGTGGATTACCGAAACTAAAATGTGCGAAACATTCGTAGAATTTTTTTGAGTATTAATTTTGCAAAATATTTTTAAGATTTTGAATTTTGCAATATTTTTTTGGAGATTTTAAATTTTGAGGCGAGCAGATTTTTTTTTATAATTTTGTATCTGTTAAAATTTCAAAAGTCTTCTTCCCATTATTCTGATAGACATCAAGGAGTAGTGTTTGTAACGAAATGAAATTTTTACAGTCGTTGAGTAAAAAAAATTTTAATTAATATATTTCTAAATAATTGACAGAACTTTTAACCCCAATTGTTTGCTTTTCTGTGATTTCTGAGAATTTTTGACGCTTAAATGATTCATACATATATATTCGAAGTTTTCAAAGATATACTTTCAACACCGAACTATCTTAAGCATTCCCGGAACATATTACTAATTTTTTCTTGGGGTATATTAAGTTTGCCACGAAGTTTGTAACACCCAGAAGCTAACGTCGTGGACACTATAAAATATATAAATGAGTGCACAGCGTAACGAGTTGAGTCGATTTAGCCATACCCGTCTTTTTTTTTTTGTTTTTTGACAAGATATCTGCACAAAATTTCACATGGACTATTATCCAAGGCAAAGGTACAATTTCCGAATAAAATTATTCCGGTCGGAACACTATAGCATATAGGTGCCATACAAACTAAACGATCAAACTCAAGTCCCCTTTATGAAAAACTTGTTTTTTTGTTTTGACATGTTACTTTCATGAAATATGGTAACTCTTCAATTTCCGCACATATTGTTCTGATCAGACCACTATGGCATATATCACAAATACATCAAGTTATTGTAAGGAAAACTGGTACCTGTGAAGAATACTATAGCTTCGGTACAGCCGAAGTTAACGTTTTTTTTCTTATTTTAATTTATTGATTTGCCGAAATTATTTGATGTTATATCTTAATATAGAACCATATACTTTGCATCGAAAAAAAGTTGCTTGCAAGGAATTGAACTTGCATCAAAGTGTCTCGTTTTATTAATAACATCAGAATAATATATACATACAAACTTAGGTATTTATATAATCATTACAGTTATTGTAAGCGACTGTTTCGTATATTTGAAACTTCAATATTATTGTCCGCAGACTTTTAGGTTAAGGTGTATACGAACATGAAAATTAATGTTTTCAAATGGACACACATATTTTTAAACGAAATATTGTAATATATAGTATAGGTAATAGGCTTTTTGATTTTTTCATGGTGCAAGCAAAAGGGTGTATTACTTTACATTTGTATAATTTTATAAGCTTAATTGTGTTTATTGTAAGTATTTTTGCTTAACATTATTATTTAGCATAAATTAATTATTTTATATTAGAAAAAATATTTGTGTAAAATGTTCATAGCATATATAAAATAAATACAAGTAGTCTTTGTTTTAGTATTCCAGTGGAACTAATGAGTTAAATTTTTTAAATCTTAAGTATTTTAGTGACGAAATGCAGAGTAGACAATTTAATACTTGGAAATGTTCATTGACTAGTAAAAAATAATGTGTTCGCTTCATTTATAGTGTGAGGGGTCATATTTACATGTCAATAAATTATAGTTGATTAAACAATATGACTGCTGCCATAATAGCACACGATGGTTCCACGAAACGTACACGCCTATAAATATATAAATTTATGAGAAATATATATTTGATAAATTCCCAAACAGCATGCATATGTTGTTATACATTTACATACCATTGAAACAGGTAAGTTTAGAGCAGAGATTGTTCAAGCATAATTTTCTCAAAACCTGGCGGCGCACCGTAGTGGAAATTGTTCAAAATAATGTCCACGATTGCATCATTACCCACTAGAAATATATAAAATATATATACTTATTTACAAATTTTTATGATTGTTGTTAGCAAAGCATACCGAATATAACTGGGTACACGGCACCCTTTACATTACGAAATGGCACTTCCAAATTTTTACCATTAAAATAGAAATTTAATTCTATATGATCGAATGCAATACCCACAATATCACCTTCATCGGGAAAATTATGTTGTGGTTGTGCGATTAGGTTACCCTCACAATTACTGCTAACATTTAGAGCATCGCCAAGTAAATTATCTTCAGGTACATCTTCAATGCCAATGAGGCCAGCTGCCGCTGCAGAATCCTTAACAATAATGCCATTGCTAATTGGTTCTTGTGTTGTTACTACCACTGGACGGAAAGTTTCATCGTTATGGCGTGTGGCGTTGTCTGAGCAAAGACACCACGATTCCTTGTCACTGCCACCAAACTTTTTCGTTAAATCTGCTTGACGCGTTGCCAAACCGACCGACCAACTGCCACCTTGTTGTATTTTTATTTCGAAGTATGATTTGGATTGTACAAGTGGTGCAGTGGCTAAGACGCCGCCAGAGCCAGTAATTCGCAGCTGTCTCGAGAGTAGTATAACATCAGGTCCTGCAATTTCCATATATAACATAAGTAGAGCACATTAATTCGTTATTTATAGCTAATAACGCTAATTTCTGCACAAATATATATATAATATGTTTGCATATGCCAGTAGGTGATAAAATGTTTACCCGCAAACGAAGAATCGAGATATATGTCTGGCTCACGCATTCTACTAGCTGCTGAGGAAGCTGTTTTCCTCATATTATCGTTAAAACATGTACGCAAACAACAAAACATTTTAACTTTTCTGTAAACTAGTTTGATAAGTTTTCTACACGAAATTTACAAATTGCAATTTTTTACTTTGCTGCAATAAATAAATCAGCTATAAGTCGTAAATGTCAAGATCAGCTGTGCGCTCTGCTTTGTTTTGTTTGATGTTGAAATGTTGCAGGAACATGTTGCTAATGTGAATGATGCAAATGTCATCATCAATATACGTTCTCTGCTATGAACTCAACGTAAGTAAAAACTATTTTTGAGATATGTGTATACGCGAAATATTAAAATATAAATATATAATGCATTTGACAGACTTTTCTCAACAACATGCTCAATTATTATTAGTATAATAAGAGAACGTATACGTTCTCTGGTATAATTTAATAAATAAATAGCACAGTCAAGAACCAATAACAGTAGTGGCTAAAATGAGTTAGTTAGGTTGCAAACAATACCGAGCTGTATATTATATACTTTCTCTGGCTGTGAGTGCAAATGCATACAGAAAAGAGTCTCCGAATTATTTTATTTAAATTTAAAATTATTTGAAAAAGGTTTAATGAGAAATTGAAAGCATTATTTGCAATAAATTTCAGTTTTATTAGTAATTAAAATAAAAAACTATAAAAGTTTGTTACTTCATCGACGGGAGCCCGAAGTCAAAAAGACTTAATACAGGAAAAGATAAGTATAGCAGGGATGGGACCAGAAAATGTGCGCTTGAATAAGCCTTAACGACCAAAATTAAGAATATAATTAATAATATTTTAAAACAATATAATTTCACTTTATGGTAAGCCAATTAGTTTTTTCCTTCAGGTATACTTATTGACCAAATTAGGGACTGTCGCAAATACCTGAAAATTTGAATCGTATTCTCGCTGCAACCCTGTGAAGTGTACACAGCAGAAAACGGAAGATGCCGATTCAATAATTTGGGAAAGTGTTAAGCACAAAAATATTTTAAATTGGCTTTTAACATATTTCACCCTTTTTATACAGGATTTTTATTAAAAATTTGAAATTGCATTTGACTCAATTTTCACCAAGTACAATTTGTTTGAACTAAATTGAGTGTGTATGAATGCAAAACTTGATCACACAATTATAGCTTAACTGCTTTAATTAATTGACTCTCGATGGCTGTCAAAATGATAAGAAAATGCCTCACATTTGCCTTTAATTAAAATAAAACAAAGGTTTTTGTTTTTTATTTTTTACAATTACACAAAACAATTTAAAATTTTATTTTCATATTTTTTTTTATTTGCTTACTCTTTGTTCACTTACTTTTCATGTATCTGCTTATGTATTTATGCAATTCGTACTAGGTTTTAATTTTCCAACTCTTATCCAATTGCTTGGATCAACGGCAACGGCGGGAAAGAAAAAATATTTCAAAACTAAAACATAAATATAAATTACATATTCATATTCATAAAATAAATTGAATTTGTTGCAAATATTAGAAAAATATCGCACTGAATTACATTTGTGCATATTGAAATTATTTTTAAATACATTTTTTTTTGTTAATTTTTAACTTAATATTTATGTTTTTAATTTTGAAGTTAAATTTAATTGCATGTAATATATTTTGCTGTGTGCTCTTTTGCTAGCTTCACGCATTTTACCGTTGTATATTTCTAATAGCATACTCGCTTTTTATGCGCCGCCCTCACTCTATACGTTCAATACAGTAAACAGTTATTTTCTTATAGTTGTAATATTTTTTTTGTGTTTTTTTTTTCTTTTTTGAATGCAACAATACGTTTAAACTCACAATATTACAATATTTCCGCTAAATATTTGTTTACTTTTATATTATTTAAAATATCATTATTTTGCAAATTTGCCATACTTGCATTTGTAATTATTATTTTTTTTTATATTAATTTATTTGCTTACACCTTTGTATTTTCCATTAGTTTTACTTAAATTTTTTGTTTGTATTGTATGTATGTATAAAGAACAAGGCTTGTATTTTATGTATTTTACTTCAATAATTTGTATGTATGTTTGATGTTTATATGATTTGAATGCAAATACAATATATATTTAAGTACATAAGTAATTTTCAACACGAATGTGGTTGCGTTGTTCAAAAATTTAATAGCAAGCGCAAGAAATAATTTAAGTACATACGTATGTATGTATGCAGTACATAGAAGTCTCTTACAAAATATTAAACAAAAAAATATTAAACTTTTTTTTTTCGATTTTGCTGCAATTTTGAGCATATTTTGCATTATTTGCTATTTGCTGATTGGAATCGAGTTGGAAAACTAGAAAATTTTTCATTCTTTTTAGTTTTGCTTGCCGGCAGGCAACCACGCAAAAGCTCTTATGAAAAAAATGTATTTATGAGAGCCATAAAATTGATTGTAAACTTGTTGCTTAATGAACTTATTATTTTTACATAACTTTTTGTATAGCTTTATTTTTTATTATAGTAAATTATTTTTTTTTTTATAATGCGTAAATTTGTTAAATTCTTTGAAATATTATTACGGTAATGCACTGAATATTTTTTTTTTGGTTTTTGTTCCTTCAAATACATACTCATCAGCACATATTTAGTTCAATAAATATATTTTTTTGTTTCATACAAAAAAAAAAAAAAAATCTAAAAAAGAAATGCTTATATGTAAAATAAACAATTGTAATTGATATATAAAGTAATTGTTACTTTATGTGCTGCAACTGTATGTATGTATGATATGTAAATGTCCGTAATGTTAAATAGACATTTGCAATATTGCACAATATATATTTAATTAAATATCAATATCGTATATGTAGAATGTATAGATATGCTAATATTATTAAAACTTTTTGCCATTTTCATTTACTTGTGTGTAAGTATTTATGTATGTGTGTATGTATGTATGTATACAAGTGTATGTATATCATAGTAATTATACTTTCATAATTTGTTATCGGGCACGAATTTGATATGTTTTCAAGTATTTCCATGTATTCACTTATGTTTTGCTGTCTAGTCCATGCTGCTTTTTAATAAAAATTGTTTTTATTAAATTATTTTGATAAAGTTATTTCGCACGCTGCACTGCCTAAAAGCTAAAGATTCACTTTCTTTTGTTTATATATAATTAATAAGTATTGTGTTCTTTAATTTTGTATATTGTAATATAATTAGTTGTATTTAATAATTTGCTTTGCATAATTAACTTTTTATATGCATTCTCTGTACTATAAGTTTTTGTCAAATTTGTCTACTTAAATTTAACACTTAAATACATTTACACGTTGCTATGCGTGATAGTTTTTGTTATTTATAATAATTTTTTGTTATTAATAATAATTTATAATTATTTTTTATTATTAAAATTTTGTTATTTATCATATTTTTTTAAAATTATTTATTATTTATAATATTATTTGTAATGATTTTTTTATAATATTTTTTTTTATTTTTTTTTTAATTATGTATTATTATTTGTAGTATTTTTTATATATCATATTTTATTATATTATATATAATTTTTTTGTTGTTATTAATATTTTTTTTATAATTAACATTATTATTTTTCAAAATAAAAATGTTTTGTAGCAAATACTACCATCTACAGCAGTTTAAGTTCGCTATATTATTTTTGTGTTTTTTAGTTTATATTTCTTTTATATTATATAATTTTGGGTTTCGAAAATTTTTTTTAATTTTTGTAAATTTAAGTTTTTATGATTATAACTTTTACTACAATAATCTTACTTTTTTGTTTGCTGTTAAATTGTATTAATTTATTTTTGTTTTGCTTACATATTTGTTGCATTATATGTATGTATATTTTCCAAATGGCTTATGCAAAAATTTCACTAATTCAAAATTCGTTTCATTAAGGTTTTTTATTTAATATAGTAATTTAATGTATACGAGTATATTTTTTTTTCTCATTATAAATATATATATGTAATGTTAGCAAAGCAAACAAATATAAATGAAATATATAATAAATATAAATTGCAGAAATATGGCAACTAAATAAAACAAATTATATAAAAATTCTCTGTAAATAAAAAAAAAAAAATATTATGAATATGATATTTAGTTACACTGTAAAAAATCTAATAATTTGAAAAGCAAAAAATTTCTTGTCTTAATAAGCTTCGTTATACCATAATTTCCGCAAGCTACCAGAATTGCTGTAAGATAGTATAAAAAATACACCAGTTAAATTAAAATACGGTTCACACTGCCATAAAAGACTGCTGAAAATATTTACTCAGCTGGGTTAAAATCTAAAAAAAAGTGTATAAATATATAAGTAATTAAAAAAAAATTAACAACATTTAAATCATACCTAAGATAAAGCAATATTTTTAAGATTTTTTTACAAGTCAAAGCTGAAACCTTTCATAAGAAATGTCTCTCTTCTAGTAAAAGATCCTCAAACCAAACCATTTACACAAATAAATACCCATGAAGAAGTAGCTAGAGATAATATATTTCACACTGTACTAATTCGATTCTGAACTTTAAACGCACTGCTATACAGAACTAAATTTCATTTTAAATTTAAATATTATTTTCCTTGAAACACATTTACTTTTGTTAGTTAGGTTAGTGGTGGATGTTTTGTTTTAAGCGATAAACTCGAGTTGGTAGACCATATTGTCTTAACATTAAACACCACTGGGAAAAGTGCAGTACGAAAGCTTCCTCGCCTTGTAAATCCACTTTTTGATTGTGTATGCAGACAAAACGCTGTTTTTGTTTAGGAAATTCAGCCATAGTGTGGAAACATCTAACCTTTTTGTTAACTTTTACGGTTACCCAACGAAACAAACATAAAAGATTTGAAATTAAACTCAAAGCTCAAATTAAACTCTGAAACGTTTATGAAAGCACCACGTGAAATCACTTGACCATAATTAGAAATAAATATGATTATAAATAAATAAAATCGTAAACTCGTTTAAGTTAAATTTTTTTTTCAAGATTCATTAACACAAAAACTTAAACTCTAGTTTTTGAAGCGACGGTAAGGTATTGTGAAATACTGAGAGCGTCAAAATTTCGTTTATTTTCTGCTGTGGAATACTAAAACAAAGTCATAACCACCAAAGTCGTGTTAATACAATATAATCTATGTTTTTAGCCGGCTGAGCACTGTCAGCTGTTATTCCAGCAACAGCAACGAAAAGTGACAATATAATTTGCTATAAGCTTCCCCAATATTTTTCAGGCATAAATTATTTGTGAACTTTCACTTAGTTTTCTTTGAAATCAAACACTGCCAAAAATGGTTTTTCAATGTTATGTTTTCAACTGCACTACAGTTTCACCGTTATGAAAATAATTGTTACAAATTAAAATAAAACTACAAAATAATTTTATTTTGAACGAACAAAAAATATTTATTAATACAGAGAGAATTAATTACTTTTAGTTATTTAAGGAGCTTCATAAGTAAAGGCATACCACACAAACACACACACGCACACTTGTATGCTTGTAAATAATCTAGTTTTATTACCGCATTGTTCGCTAATTTGCTTGTATGTGTGCGTGCTTATGTAGAATTAACATAAATAATTATATAATTATAAGTTTACGGCATGATAAGGCAAACAATGAGCGTTTGAGTTTGGAAACGAATTTTAACAAATAATTTAATTGAAAATTTATGCAAAGTTTTTTTAAGCAGTTTTCTCTAAGTATGTATGTTTGTATGTTTTGCAAGCAGTTTCCAAATTACACGCATTAAATTTTATTTATTTTTTCATTTTAAAGTTTTTACTTGTTTGAAATTCACTTACATTTACGTTTATTACATATTTTATACAATTTATGTATGCATATATGTATGTACTGTAAATTATTTATTTAATGTATTCCCTAATAATTTATTATGTTTATTACGCATTAATGCATAAAAATACCTGCTATTTTGTTTTCCATCATCTGCAGCACAACGCTCACATCATTTTTAATTTATTTCTTTGTTTTTGTTTTAGTTTAATTTTTAATTTAATTTTAATTACGAAATTGCTTCACTTTACATACTCACGTACTGCTTGCAGTATTTTCTTTACAATCATTGTTTTAAGTATAACTAAATTTATAATTATCATATGTTTTTGTTTTTTTTTGTTTTTTTGGTAACTGCTTCTTTTCACTATAAATGTATAATGTATGTGTATGCATGCTGATTGAATTAATTTATATACCTTTGCGCTAGATTTCTGCATATATGCCTACAATATAGTATGTACTCGCACTTTCGGTTCCGGTAAATATTATTTCATACCCATTTTTTCATGTATAAATAAATGTAAATAATAAATATTTTAAAAGTTTCCTCAGCGTCTATTATATAAGTATGTATATGTGTATGTAATTATTTTCTTGCTTTTCGTTTTTTTTTTTTTTTTTTTGTTTTTGTTTTGTTTCTTTTTTCTTTACCCTTTTTGCTAGATTCTGCTACTTTACTTATGTATTTCTTATATGTATGCGCATTCACTGCAATGTAAAAGTTGTTAATTTTTGCTGATATGTATTTGTTGTTTTTGTGTGTTTAATTTAATAGTTAATTGATTTCATTAAACAAATTTTGCATCTGGCATCCACCGCTACATGCTTTCCATTTATGTTTATATGTTTTTGTTCTTGCTGTATTTTTTTTTTTAGTTTTCTTTAGTTAATTTTCGCACAATTTACATGCCTGTATTTTATTAGTTAATTACCGCTTATATCAACAGTTTAAAACTTAATCTTTTGCTAAGCGTCTACACGGCGGCATTTGTTTTGACCTGTTTGACTTACAAAATGTAAAATTGTTCATTCAAAGATATGTTTGTTGGTTTTATATTTGTAATTGCCGCTTTATCGACTTTTTCTTTAGTAATTTGTTGTTTTTGTTTTCCTTGGTTTTTCGTCATACTATTCAAAAATGCTATTTCGAACCTGCGCTTGGCTGTCTTTTTTCGCTTCTACTGTTTTGGTTTGTCTTTTCTTTGTATTTTCATGCTTGGCTAATCATAGTCGAATGTTGGTAATATATATTTTTATATGTATTTATATGTGTATATATAAGTATATAACGTTAAAATAAGTTCAATTAATATTTATATTAGCTTCTTTACTTTACTTTGTTTTTTTATAATATAAATATTAAAATTATTTATAAACATTATTAAAAATAATTAAATAAGACAGGCGCTTTCAAAATTTTGGTGATTTATGCATTTTTGAAGAGATAAAGCAGTTCAGCATATATATTTGTTTATATAAATAAAATATTTGCATGAAAAATTTAATACATTGCCTTTAAAAACTGTATATAAAAAAAATCAAGTTAGTTAAAAAGAAAATAATTAATATGATTAATAAAAAAAAAAAATCAATGAAAAAAAAATATTTTAAACTAAACAAAATATAAAGAAATAAATAACCTACAACAAGTTATTTGTATTATAATATAACTCATAAAAACAAAAAGAAATAAAACATAAAAAACAAAACAAAATAAAATAAAATTAATTATAATAAAATAAAATAACTATAATAGAATAAAATAAAATTAAACAAAATAAAATAAAATAAATTTTAATGAAAAAAATTAACTAATTAAAAAAAATTAAAATAAATTAACTAAATTTAAATAAAATACGATAAAATACAAAAATATAAAATAATGATGAATAAAATTTGAAATACATAAGAAATTAAAAAAAAAAAAAATATTACGTTGAAATAAAATATGATTATTTGTATTACACAGCAATACAATACAAAGAAAATGTATTGAAAAGACCAAAAAAATAATGATAAAAGATCAGATTTTATTAGATATAAAAGCAAAAATATATAATATTTGAAAGAAGCGATATTAAACGAAAATATTTTGCTTTTAAGCTGCTTTTTAAAAGACTCATATTGTTTATAGCTCTGATTACTTACGTAAATAAATCATTGCAACAATATTATGTAATCAAGTGGCTTAAGCAACAACGTTCAGTTTTCAAAACCGCTTTTCATTTAGGCAGAAATTAAACATTTTAATTCTAACCTAATTTCAAGGTTGCGAATTTTTTAATCCCGATGTTGGGGTTAACAATTAGATTTTCAATTTTTAATCCCGATGTTTAAAATTAGATTTTTATTTTTTAATCCAAAACGTTTGTGATTAAACATTGTAAATTTTATTTTTTAATATAAATAAAGTGCACAAACGCAAAAAAATATGTTTATATTAATACAATGTCTTTTTTTCAATTCTTAATTATATGCTTTGGACTAAAATTGCTCATTTATATTTTTTAATTTTTTTAATTAGAAATAAATTTTTTATCCCACATACCGGATTACAAATTAACAATATAAAAAATTCAAAAGAAATTAAAATTTAAAAATAAAAATTTTAAAATAAATAAAAATTTTTTTGTATATTTTAATCCGGTATCTAGGATAAAAAATTTATTTTTTATTAAAAAAATTAAAAAAAATAAATTAATAATATCAGAAATTAAAAATAAATTAAAATTTTTTTATGTTTTTTAATGCTATATTTGGGAATACAAAATAAAAAAAAATCTATTAAAAAGTTAATGCAAATCTCTAAAGCATTTGAATTTAATTGGTATTAATAATGTTTTAATTTTCACTTTAGTTACCATTATTTGCAGTTTAATGCGAATATTACTCAGCCATGTAATCCCATTGCTATAAGAAAAAAGTTCTATACTAAACTATTCTGGCGTGTTCTTTTGCCACTCGTTTACATAAAACTGTTGCTACAAATATTCGTGTTTTTTTCTGTATAGCTTGCTACCGAAACGACCACTGTACCGCATGCCAGAACTCTATTTAACTGTGACAAATTTTCTGCTATCTTTTTACTGCTTAACAGTAACGCTGTCATTAACAGATATTATTTTACTGTTATTTTACAATTACCACTAAATTACTATTGTATATTTACTAAAAATTTACCGAGTTTATTACTTTTAGTCATAAAATATTTGCTTCAATTTGCCATTGATTTTAGTTAAAATGACACACTTACATATGCAACATTTAAAAGTGTACATTTATAAATAACAATTGAATTATGACATTTTAGTAAATTTTTCCCGCTAACATATTGATTTCTTCTTAAAGCTATTGTTAAAATTTCGAAAATTATAATGTCTTATTCTCAAAAATGTTCACGCTAAACTAGTTTTTATATATTTTTACATATACTTGTGTTTTTTGTTCTTCATAATAGTAATTAATTTAAGGGTTTGGAAAAAAAGGCGCAATATAATGATATGCATTTAGTAGTCAGTTGACTTCTTCGGCGACACGAATGGTCACAGAAAAAGAGTTTTTCTCACAAAAAACGAGTTAGTATTATTATTATTATTACTATTATTATTATTATTAAATTTTTATTATTAATAATGCATAACCGTTATCATTTCACTGCTACAGAGTTGTCTGTCTTGTGTCTGCCGCACAAGTGGCCGTTTGGTTGCTTTCTACTAAAACGAGGCAAGTCACCAAAATTTCTAGCGCAAAAACAAAAACCAAAAACTAAGTTAAACTACAATTAGGCTTTTGAAATATATATAAACAAAGTATTATTGGACGGAATATGCATATGCCGACTAATATGTATACAAACTATTTACTTGCATGTATGTATGTATGTCTGTGTGAGTAGCTTGATATATATGCGTATATTTTAAATGCTACTTGCATTTTGTTGTAAAATCTTTTTTGCAAAATTTCTTTGAAGTTTTGTTGCCATTTTAAAATTAATTAAATACCGCTAACTGTAAAGTGAAAATTATAATTTCGCTTATTGCGTGTGTTGCGCAACAATTCTCAACACCTTTTTGGTTAAATGTCTAGCGTTTACGGTAATTTCTGCTGATATTTTTATATAAGTTTGTATGCTAATATTTAGGTAGGTGTGTTTGCAAGATAACACTATATATTTAGTATATATATGTAAGTATATAAGTTTTTATATAATTTTAACCATTTGAATTTGCTTTGGTATGTCTAGTACTAAACTAAGAAAACAGTAAATTATATAATAGATCAATTAATTAATACAAAAAATTGCAATAAATGTTATATATGTATATATATATATATATTAAAATTTTATTTAACGCGCTTTGTTTGTTTAGTAAGGACAACTTTGGTAATGAAAAACACATAAAAATTCTACTTTAAAAATACATTTTTTTGTTGTTTTTTTAGTTTATAACTTAAGAATGTTTTGAAAATAAGTATGCACAAATATTTATATATTACACTTCTTTATGTATGTATTTCATATTTTATATATGCATATACATATATGTTTGCATACCTTTATATGCGTTATATTTGTATATCAACATCGTCTAAAACAAAATTACAAATAATCAGCATTATCATCAGCAGCATTATTTGCATTCGATTAGCATTATATTTATGTAAATGATGTATGTATGTAGTTATATATGCAATGCATCAACGCTTGATTTGATATGAATTTGCGCTCGCAAATAAAGTCGTGTTCACAGTGGCGTAGTTTTGAGAGAGATGCGGCGAGTAAATTAGGTTTGCGGTTGAAGAAATTTTTTACGTTAAACAATTAAAATGTTTTTTTAATCTCTGTTATTTTATACAGAATACAACTATATATATTGAAAAATGTGGTTTTAGCTTGCGTTTGAGTTAAAAAAATTTATTAAAATTTCTTAATAATTTTTAAAATTATTTTTAAAAGAAATTTGAATTAAATTTATATATTATATATTATACATATATATTTTTTTTAATTTCTTTAGTTTTTAAATATATTAAAAAAAAAAATTTTAACAGAATTTAAAAAAAAATGTATTTAAAAATATTTAAAAATTTAAAAATTATCAAAAATTGATTTAAAAAATATTTTTTTAATGAATTTTAAATACAAATATAACTATTTATTAAAATAAAGTGGTTTTGGTTTGCGTTTGAGTTGAAAAAAATTTATTAAAATTTATTAAATTTTTTTAAATTTCTTAGTCATCTTTAAATATATGTATACTAAAAATCATTTTTAAAAGAATTAAAAAAAATATTGGTTTTAATATTTTCTAAATAATTTTATTAAAAAGTAATTAATTTTATTAAAAAATAATTATTTAAAAAATATTCAAAAATGATTAAAAAAATGTTTTAAAGATAATCAAAAATTATTCAAATACAATAACTTAATGAAAAAAGTTGTTTTATCTGGCGTCTAAAAAAGCAATGTATTATAATTTTTTTAATTTTAGAATAATTTCTACATATTTTTAAAATAATTTTAAATATTTTTTAATTAATTAATTCTTAAAAAATTATTTAAAAATTATTGCAAATTATTTAAAAACTATTTAAAGTTTACTGAAAAAATATTTTTTAAATAATTTTTTGCTGTATGTATCTTGTTATTTCCACCTTGTTTTTGCTTTTTTTGTTTTTTATATACGCAATTTCACTCTCATGCCCAGATTTCATCTACGGCTCTACTTATTTGCTTTACGATTCATGCAATTATTTATTATTACTTTTTTTACTTACATCAGTATAAACTTTTACACTACACAAGATGATATGTCATGATATATATATATTTTTTTTTGTTTTTTGTTTTTATTAAAATTTACGCCATCTGTAATTCCCGTTATTTTGTTTAATTGTATTCGGCGTATCTTATGAATGCTGCAGCTTTTATGCTTTAACTCCTGTCATAAATTTGTTTCATTTTGGTTTCAGTTTTCAGTCACGATAACTTAATACAATATACATAAGTATTTATGTATGTATGCGTGTCGCTTTCGCTATCATTGCTAGCTGTCAGCTTCGAATTTTAACCTGTCAGTTAGTGTTTGTTGCTTCTTGTTGCTTTTTGTTTTTTTTTTTGCTATAAACTGGGCGGAAGTTAGATTTTAATAAATATGTGTGTATGTAAGTAGTTGTTTTATAGTCCTAAGAGAAAATCGTTATGTTTGCTTTGTTCTGTAGTCTGCAGCCAGGTTACATAAATGTTTTGGTTATGAATAACGGCTAAAGTGGTAGAAAAGCGTTGTTTTGTAAAGTATAAGTAGTATACAAGTTTTGTTTTCCAGTTAGTTAGTATGTTAGCCCATTCTCCTATATCCGCTTGTATTGTTTTTTGTTGTTCTTGTTGGGTTATTTTGTTACTTTTTTGTCATTCAGCTGCCAGCATCGCGCTTATTGTCTGCTTAACAGCGACAGCTTTTTCTGCTTTCAACGCTGTAATATTATTGACGTTCAGACAGCGCCTTAATTTGGTCAATTAGCAAATTGTCTGCGTTAATATGACCGAAACGTCTATTTAAATATTGTTCGTAAGCATTTGATATTCGGTACACTGTTGTCAATTTATGCTTGTCTACTTACTTCTACTTGGTTCTAACATACTTTGTAATATGTGTTTTTTTTTGTTTGTTTAGAAAATCAATAATTTTGTGTGTTGTTTTTTAAATTTTACTTAAACAATTCGGAAACCTTATGATTTGTTGGTAGTTTCATTTCTTGTTAATTTTTTTATTTATTTATTTATGTCTCATGTAGCCTACTTTATGCTCTTTCTGCTATTTGCGTTTTGCATTTATTTGAAACTCTAACTCTAGTTTGCTTTTTATCAAAATTTCTACATGCTTTACTGCAATTATGCACACTACTCAGCAGCTTCTGTATTTTTTTTGCAATAATTATTACATCATAATTTTTATGACAATAATAAATGTTATAATTTAACTGCTCAATGCATTTAATAATGTTTTATATTTGGGACTCTCCAATTAGTTTTGTTTTTGTCATTTTTTATTTTATACTGTTGTAATAATTTTTAATAATTATATTTTTTATATAATTCTAGAAAGAGAGCTATGTAAAGGGCACATTCGGTTAAGCTATAAATAGTTCTTTATTATTCATGTACTTTTAATTTAAATCTTCTTTTATGACAAAAAGTTTTTTAGTACATTACTATATCTTTATGATTAAAATCAATTTTTGTATTATTATTATTATTTTTAGTTATTGTTGATAATCAAATACATTTAAATTTTAAAATATCTCAAAAAATTTCACACATTTCGTTTAAGTGTAGATAAGATTAGCAATTACAAGATTGATGTCTAATATTATCAATTCCTTTCAAGAAAATTAATTTTTAGCTTCCAAAACTTAATAGATATTAGTTAAAAAGTTTAAACATTCGAACATTAATTGAGTTACAAGTATTGCAAAAGCAATATTAGTTTTGTAGTAAAAGTAACAAAAATGTCAAACAGCTTTAAAGGATATTAAAAAAATAAAAATTATAAATCAAAATTAAAAAAAAAATTTAAAAAATTTTAATTAAATTTTTTTTAAATTATAAAAATTTAGTTTTAAATAAATATTAGATATGTAAATATATTAAAAAAAAATTAACTAATAAATATATTAAAAAATTATTAAATAATTAAAAAAATTAATAAAGAGTTCCCAAAACTTAAAAAACACATAAAATGCATTTAATACATATATGCAAATAATATTTGATTAGTATTTTCATTCTTTCATCTATTTTGAATAGCTTTAATTTATTTAACTTCCATATGTTTCCAAATTGTACTACACTAAGCACACATACATATCATTATATCATATAATGTATGTGTTTGTATGTATTTTGTTATTTATTACTTTAGCTGATAATTATATTTTATGTTTAATTACTTTGATTTGGTATGTTTTTTATATAGTTATGTTCTTAATTTTCTGTTCTTCTCCATGCGCATGGCATGTCCAGTCAGTGGCATGCTGCGCCTTATACGCTGTTATACTTACACTCTCTGTTTAGCCCTTGTTGCATGCTATATAAACCCAAACTGTCGCTCAATTTGACGCAATTGGTTGTATTTGTTGCTATTGTTGTTGTTGCTTTTGCGTCATACCACCACACGCAATCATATGCATGGTAAATACAAAGTCTGGTGACCATATTTTATTCCTGTTGTTACTGTTGTTGTTATACATACTAGTAACTGTAATTGCCATCGATGATGTTGTCGTACTATGCTGCGATATGTGTTGTTGCCGGCAAAACGTATGAGTAGATGCCAGCTGCAGCTGCTGCTCCTGGTGTGGCACCCGAAATGAGTGTGGTTGGTATGTGATGTGTGGCTGCTAATGTAGCGGCAGCTGCTGCGTAATGTTGTTGCTGTTGATGGTGTTGTTGGTGTAGGTGGTGATGATTAAGATGCGTTGAAAGTGTCGCTGCGTTTGCTTGTTGTTGTTGTTGTTGCTGTTGGTAATGCGATGTATAATGCTGATGTTGTTGCGTTTGCTGTTGTTGTTGTTGTTGCTGCTGTTGATGCTGATGTGCGGCCGCTGCTGTTGTAACGGGTCAAGTCGGTGTTGTCATTAAAAATTGATGATGTTGCAAGTCGCGTTCGGCTTTTTTATTCAATAAATCATGCCTTGATTCCATACCCGCTCCTCTGTAAAATGAAATGGGAGCAACTTTAAGCCAATGCTAGTGGAATATTCTTTATTATTTATAAGCAATTATTTTAGACTGTGGCTTAGTAGAGCTTTTAAAGCGGTTAGCTGAAACTATGTACAGTTATATGTTGGTTGAATTTAAATTAATTATATAGATAAGTATGTAGGCATATGTATAAATATGCCTGTATAAGTATGTGTATAGTGGAAAAAAAAAATTTAAGAGCTTTTTTGCATTGTGTGGTTTTATGATGTGCCTTTTACTATTACGTATTATTATAATTAAAAAGTATGTATTATAATAAAAATTATAATAATATATATAAAAGAAACTATTGCGTCGATACCAGATAGAAAGATACTTATAGCTTGAAATTAAATTTTAGTATATTAAGCAAGTACTTATAATTTTAAAACAAAAAAAAAAATTCTGAAACCGAAAACCGCTCTGGTAAATTAAGAACACAGTTATCTGCTTAGAGGACCAAGCAAGATAGCACGAACATTTTTAAAGTTGCCTCCCAGCAACCGTTGGGTTTTACTTAGGAGTCTTTAGTTTTGCAGAAATGCTAAGTAAGGTTAGCTAGGGTCGTAAACTATTATACACAAAATATACTACTATGTAATAATAATTATTTGATTTTATTTACTGCCTACAAAGACTTTCCGTTAAGCGTTCTTTTTCTCATTTTCAAAAAGTTTACTGAAAGCTTTCTGAAAGCACTTATTAATGTTATTCCATAAGCTCTCGATAAAAGCTCTATAGAAGCCAATTAAAAATAAAACTAGTAGACTAATCAAAACGCTCTACAAATTCGAAATTTAGTCCAATAGTTCCTCATTTAGATTTTCAATAAAATAAAGTCTTAAAAACTATATAATTACAGTATTATTTTTAAAAGCTTTGAGACGTGCTTTTAATGAACTCGTGCGAATAATGAAATTAATTTATTTCGATCATTTATATTTTAAATGTTATTTTGTATATTTTAGAATGCTTCTACTATCTGCATATAAGCTTCTCATATTCACGAAATGAGCAGCACTTTGTGTTATTAGTATATTTTTAGTGAAAAGCTAATAGTAAGTGTTATTCCCGACATTATATGGGTGATGTAAAGTTCACAGAGTCAGCCATCAGTGCAATATGTGAAAAGCGTAAACCACAACAACGCACGTATGTGCTAATGAGAAATTGTTACCCAGTAGGAAAAAATTAAAAAATATATTATTTTCAGTTGTGTTAGTTTTTTTTTTGAGCTAGCAAAAAATTAATTGAAATGATTTAAATTTAGTTTAAAACATAACAAAAATATTTATAATATATAAAAAAAATTGTCAAGTTGTTTTATTTGCTTAATAAAATTGAAAAAAATTTAATTTATAACAAGAAGAACTATTTTTTTTTGTTTTGTAAAGTGTAGCTAAAAAAAAAGTTAAATCAAATTAAATTAATACAATTTATTAATTAAGAAATTACTAGTTATAACAAAGTGATAAGTGTAGAATTATTAATATAAGAAATATAAAATTTATATTTTTAAAGTTATATTTTTTTTAGTAATGAACGACTATCAAAGAGGGCATTAAAATACTCGTTATTAATTAATTGTAACTCAAACACTTATTTTTGGTTGCAAGGAATATTGAATTTGAAAATATTATTTTCGTATATTAAGTCTCATTTTCTTAACTCAATATATATAATTATATAATATATAATACAATATATATAATTATATAATATATAATATATATATATAAGTGTGAAAGTTTCTTAATAGATTTCAGTCGTCAAACCCCTTTACTTAGAACTTCCTACAGGGTATGACTATATAACTTTATGAACCTTTTTGCATGTATGCCACTTAAACTATTAAACTTGTTTATCGTAATTCGCGCTATCGCTGAGTAAGCACTTGTCTCCCCCCACGCCCGGCAAAAGTTTCACCTTTCGTGCAAATTGATTCCGACACTCAAGGGACAACAAGGGGACTGCCGCCATGCCAATATGGTAGCGAAATATGTGTATGACTATTTGCACGAGTAATGCTGGAAATTTTACTGTCTAGCGGTTTTCTACACTTTGCACTTTTTACGCAAGCGGCAAGCTGGCATACACACACACACAACGTTATTCATATCGCACATGCTTCGGTGCTAAATATATATGTGGCAAGTGTATGTGTGCTTGTGAGCTGTTGGTTTGTGGTATAACCACAATCATAACAATTCAGCGCCGCTGCGGCCGAACCCAGAAGGGTTAACTCCCGCTATGAATACATGTGTATGTATGGGTATGTGGCAATATAAATAAAGCGCAGGCGACGAGGCGCTGCTAAGTCAGCTAAGAATCTATTGGTGTAAATGCTAACCGACGCTCGTTTGGCAAGGTAAGGGGCGCACAAGTTTGCTGTATTTTTTATAAACTTTTTGTGCAAATTGAAAAACAAATTTATAAGGTATGTACTTTGGTATTTTAAAAACGTATCAAACATAAAATAGCGGTAAAGTGGTTGTAAGCGTGTGTGCATTCTAACGGTTAACGCTGTTGGCCATTAGCGAGGTTTTTTAGTGCGCACATACTATTTGCTGGGTGTTATTTGTATTAAGAGCATACTTTCAGGCGTTTCAGCGTCGCTATTTTTATTTTATCTGTGTGTATTTATTTAACGCCATAAAAAAATTGCTCGCTTTTACATTTCGGCTTTGTGCCGGTGGTTACGGGCGCTGCAACGTGCATTTGACTCGCTCTACCTCCGCACAGCAAATTTAAATCAGAAACGGGTGCAAGGGCAGATTAGTGGGGTGGTAGGTGTGCAGCACATTAGCATTCCAATTACTTGCGTTACCAATAACTTTAGGTGCATTTGCAAAGTCAAGCGTTTGGAAGAAAAATGGCTGGAAAAGTGGATATTTTTGCTTGAGAAATTTTGTAATTTAAAAGGAAGTGGCGTGTTGTATTTTGTAGAACAATGCTTTGCTACTTAATTTTCTAAATAAAAAAACCTAATAATAATAAAAATTCTAACATAATTTCAAATTCTGTTTTGGTATTGCACTTATTATATAAGGTAATCTTTGTTAAAAACAAACATGCCTGGGACTATTAACTCAATAATATTTTTTACCTGCTCTACTTTAAACTTTTCTTTTTGGAGCGGATTAGATTATCCGCTATGGATTTTAGTCCAGAAACAAAAAGTCAACATTAATGCAACATGCACCAGAAATCTGCTTGCAGATGCAATTAGTGCACTTTTTTGCTCTAGCGCAAAATCGTACTACAACTGTAATAGTAAATATACCTAAGAAAAAAAGTTATATAATTTATATTGGAGGTTGAGGGCAGAGGGTAAAAGAAATCTTTACTCAAGCGGCCACCTTAAACTATTATTAGGTTCATTGTGTTCCCAAGTGAGTGCCAACTTAGTACAGTTCAACACGCTGCAGCTAGCCAAATTATTTTATAATGAAACCTTGGCAGCCGTAGAAGATATTTCATTTCACCGTATGCCTTCTTAAAAACGAACTCTTGTGGCTGCATATTGATCGGTTCATATAAATATATTATAATATAATTTTTATGGGATTAGGTGAGCTGTCTGCTGAGTTCTGAAGACAAATTCTGTCAGAAATTTAATCATTATGAACCTTTGACATGTTGAACATAGTAGACAATTGAAAAAAAGGCCTGCTCTTGACGAACAAAATCAACAACTTAGAACTATGCGATGAATAATATAACATAAGTCGAATAATGATAAAAGCCGAGGCTTGTTACGATTGTATAATTTTCATGTTAGTGCGTTGGTCGAAGTGATATGGTATCTTCAATGCTTTACAAATAGTAAACAATACTGGGTATATTTCTAATAGTAGCAAGAGAGTAATATTAATAAAACATTTCAAGTGCCAAATAGAGAGGTATTTATGTTTACTTGATGCTTTGAATAGTTTCGCAAACCGTATAATCAAATGGCATAACCGGAAAAATTCACTTATGATTTAAACAGTCCCCGACGCAAAACCGTTGATCGAATCAGCTGATACGATCTCTCAATGTAAATGAACACTCACCATCGCTTCTACCGTCCGCTTTTACAGACCGTACGGCCCGCGTTTCCCGTAGAAACGAGTGAGCTGAGAAAGAGAGTCTCGATATTTTGTAGTAATTTAAAAATAAACTTGAATATATTTGAAATATTATTAAAATAACTCAAAATCACAGTCGAATACATTTATTTATAAATATATTAGCTATTTTTAATAGTTGGATTTTAGTATTGAGCTTTTATATTATGAAAATTATAACTAAAAAACTAAATGTGTGTATACGAATAGACCAATAGCAACATTGGTGAAATGAAAACAAAAGAGAACAACTGATTTCTGCGTTGACACTACGGCATAACTTTTGACAAATTTGATTTGATACGCGCGGTAAGTACGGAAGGAAGGAATGTCGGTGACTGTTTGAAGCAATAAGCGGAACAATAAGGGTTGATTTTATGCCTTAGAGAATTTCAGTTCGCTCTCAGTTTTCGAACAGCATAATAGAGAATAAAGTTTTATCTGTCTGAGTACTTTTTATGCTTAAATTGCTAACCGTTTATGGATTTGTTAGTGCAGGCACAGTTAAGCTAAATATAAGGCTATTACACTTCAGTATTATAAGAATAAATTTTATATGAAACAATAAAATTTATTGAAGCAAAAATTGTTGCATGTAAAATATAGCTTATGTGGTAGAATTGTAAAGCAAGCATTTTTTTTTAATTTTAACGCACAAATAAGCAAGCTATAATATTATATATGAATATTCGTATGTATTACAGTTATAATAATAATAATGCTGTATAATTCGAAATGCTAATAAAATGAGTAAGTCTTAAATAAATATCGCTAAATAATTAAAAATTATATTAATAGGCAAGCATACAAATATGAAATAAAGAGAAACACTAAAAACTAAAAATAATTATGTAGTGAAAGCCATCGAAGTAGTGACTTTCGACAACCAATACGTACGTCTCTAAAGAGATGATTTTGGTGCTGAGTTGGATGAAGTTGGTGCTGTAGTGAGTTTACAACAACAGTAGGCGGTGGTAGTGCGGTAGAACGATTGTGCACAATATTATTATTATTACTGTTATTGTTATTGTTATTATTGATATTATTGATATTGATGCCGTTATTATTATTTAGATTAGTAGTGCTGGTGGTGTTGTTCAAGTTGTTCAAATTGTTTGTGCTGTTGGTGCTAGTAAAAATGGTCGCCAACGATGGCCCCACCGCTGACATAGCCTGCAAACCGCCGCCAACTGCTGGATAGGCAACAGCCGTTGCAGTGCCACCATTTGTGGTGATAAAATGTTGTGTCGGCAATATGGTTTGCTGCTGCATAACGCCGGCCGTTTGCAATAGTGCTTGCTGTTGTTGTTGTTGCTGCTGCACCTGTTGTTGCATTGCTTGTTGTTGTTGTTGCTGCTGCTGCTGATGCATTACCTGTTGTTGCTGCTGCTGTTGCTGTTGTGCATAGCCATTCAGTATGATAAGCTGCGGCTGCGGCGGCTGATTGCTGATAAGCGTCATAGCGGTACCGGCGGGGCTAACGGCCGTCATGTTGTTGGCGGCGAGCAATTGTGTAGCGTTCATGGCATTGGCTGCTTTCTGCATAGCCAATGCTTCATTGTTGTTACTGTTGTTGTTGTTATGGTTATTGTTATTGTGCTTGGCACTGCCACTACCGGTCATAGTGTCATTGATCATTTTGGTTTTAGCAAATTCTATGCGTATCGAGCCGCGGTCGGAGGAGAGTAAATATTTACCCTGTAATTGCTGCATTGCTGTTGCAGCGCTAACGGTATCTTTGAACTCAATAAACGCAACTGGATGGTTGGCATTGCTGTTGTTGTTATTGTTGCCAACTCCATGATAATTAGCAATGGCCGTTGCATTGGAATTGGTAGAAGTGGTGCTTGTGTTGGTGGCATTGGTGATGGTGGAAGTAGTAGTAGTAGAAGTAGAAGTGAGATTGTGCGAACCTTTTGTGTGCATTCGGAGGCGACAAAAGCCAGGCATACTGTGTGTGTGCAATTGTTCAATATTTAAGTAACAAATCATTCATACATATATTTGTAAATACAATAAATATATTTAAGTTTGGCAGTAAATGCATGTACATATGTTTGTATTTAATAGTACTGCTGTAATAGTTAAATTTATTTTACAGACATATAGCATATAGTATTTTATGTTTTATTTTCACTTATTTATTTATTTGTGTGTGAAAGAAGAGAGTCCTGTATATAAAAGGAATTAAGTTTCCAAAGGCATATAATTGCAGTTATTATAAATACGTTTTTGTATCATAATTATAAAGGGAGTATGTGTATAGCATCGGCTGTTATGAATTTACATGTATGTTACTAGCTACGGAAATAAAGGTGGAACTTATTATGTGAAATATTTTATATGAACTTAATTTTCGAACGAGTCTTTGATGCATTAGAGTGTTAAGAAAACTCGAACTTAAGGTTTTGTCTGTTTAGGAAATTCTGAGATAGTGATGACATTTTTCGTACATATACAACAATTTCCTTAAATACACATTAAAGTCTACTTTTCGTTGTTAATTTCCGGCGGACAACCGTTTGTGTTTACGTAAACAACGAAAAGTAGACTTTAATGTATATTTAAGGAATTTATTTATATGAAAATATCTGTGCTTGCGAATTTAAACACGACAAACTCAGTTTAAGATTTCGGGTCAAAAAACAATTGTCATATGTTCTCATTGTTGTGCTTAAGAAGCAAACGTTCACGTTTAGCAAAAAACTCGAGTTTAGGGTTTCGTGTCAATAAATGATTGTCAGGTAGTGATTTTTAGAAAACCGTAACTTTAAATTGGTTTTTTGTGCAAAAATGTTTGAACTGTAAGGACAGCAAAATTTTAGTGTTTAAGAATTAAGGAAATTATTTTCGTTTGGGTTGTTTAAAGCGTGGTAGTTGTATATTTTTTGCATATAAACTCTATATTTGTTAACATCGTGGGTTTTAGCTCAATGAACGCGAGTTTGTGGCTCCACATGGCTAAATCAACATAGCGTGTTACTCTGATAATTTATTTATATACATTATAGGGTCTCGAACGTTTTCTTTTAGGTGTTATAAATATTGTACTCTGTTCAGGGTAGAAAAATTTGAGGTGAGAGTAAACTAGAAGTATGATGTGCATTTCACAGTTTTGAGTCTTCAGTTTGTAAACTTGGTATACGAAGATTAAAACAAATTCTTCTGTTTCAAGCCTTAAAAGGTACCCATAATATAATATATATATGTATTACAACTGAGTTGCCAAATTAGCTACACACATACTTATAAAATAAAAATATGTATGCCCTAAGAAAGAGTACTAGATGAATCTACATTCACTTAAGTTAGTAGAATACTAAATTTTTAAATTAATATAGACTTGAAAAAATAATTACAATCATATAAAAGGACACACTTCTTTCTGATGTACACCGCGGATGGTAGAGTAGTAAATTTTAGAGGTTGAATTGGTGCTATAATTTATTGATCAATATATGTATGATATTTTAGTCTTGTGAAATAAGTGATGCTTATTGTTAGCAGAAAATTTTTGCAGTAATATTACATATATAATTTTTCAATGTGCGATTTTATGTATTGTGATTAGTCATGTTAATTTAAATTGTTATTAACCTAATTGAATTTAATGTGCAGGTGAAGAGAAACTTTCCGTAAGAAAGGATGAACTCAAAAGGCGACCAAATGTTTGGCTCAAAACTCAAGCTATTGCAAATATGTTGTAAACAACAAGTTAAATCGTTATTCAAGTGTACAAAACACTCACCTGGAGAAGACCTCTTTAAGTTCATGCTCAGACACGAATTGCCCCAAATTGGCCACAAACAATGTCGAGCAGGGCGCGTTCGCAGCTAATGGTGGATTTGATGGATGTGCTGGATTATTCGAGGAACCAACTGGACTCGCCAAAGCGGGGCTGGATAAAAAATGATGATGTGCTGTATGACCGGTTGGTGGCGGTCCCGGTGGGCCAGTGGCGGCTGTGCCCGGCGGTAAACCAGCAGCAGCAGCGGCAGCAGCAGCGGACATATGCATAGCTGTTGGATGTAGTGTTGTTGCTTGATGATGTTGCGTCATAGCGGTCATTTGAGTCTGAGTGAGTGTAAATTTGTGAGTAGATGGGAAAAAAAATGCGATTACTTATGAAAAATCGTTGAAAGTTATATCGGCTGCCATAATAAATACGGTGTAGAGTTAGCGGTTATACTCACTTGATGCATAGGCTGTTCGATAACTTTATCTGTATTTAGTCAGAGGTAAGAGCGTACCGGCACCTGCGGATGTAGAGCTGGATGCACTAGTGTGGCATGCTGTAATGCAGCTGCACCGGGTAATTCAGCGGCGGCTGCCGAATAGGCTAACGGATGATGCCATAATTCCGGTCCGCCTGGAAAGAATGGTCCACCCAAATCTAAGTGTTGTGCAGAAAGAGAGAAATTGTTTTTTGTTAGAGAACAATATCGCTTCGGTGCAAACGAATGGAAAGCAACTAAACGTAGAATATGCGAAATAGTGGAAGAAATCAAAAAGAGAATTGTTTATGTTTTATATATGCACAGTTGAAATAACTTATTTTTGTTTTTGTAAAGATATATATTTCTTTTAATTTTAATATTTTTATTATATTTCGATTAATTTCAAATATTTTATAGGTTATTGACAACTGTGTGCGTGTTTGATAAAAGAATACATGACAAGAGCGCATTTAGTCGAATGAAGCGCAAATGTTGCTACTTCTGACGTTTTTTATATATATTATATAAATATATATATATATAAGTTTTCGGCAATTAAGTAGTCGTTTGATACATTTTAACCGATAAAATATTTAAGCACAATTTCTCACATTTAACAGTGAACTGATTCAAATTTGTATTATCCCGTAAAAAAATACCAACGTTTTTTAATCTGTTTATAAATTTATATACAATATATGGTAGAAAAAAAGTTCTTTTTTTGTTGTTAGTTGAGTGTATTGTCAAGTATTTAGTAAGCTTCTCCAGCTCCAAAATCTGTTCTAACAGTAGTTGTTTAATTTTTTATTACTTTGTAAAATTAATTTTTGGTAAATAAAAGCTTTTGTGTGAAATTATTACCAAGTTCGTTTCTTAAGTCTTTTGGTTTCAATAACAAACGATTATTTGTTCAATAATAATGTTTGATATTTCTATTCTGACACAAATATTGCTCAGGGAATTGATATAATTATGGCATTGCCAAATTAAATTTTTTTAATCCAACAAAATATATTAAACACTTAATTTTAGGTAAATGAAATTTATGTTTTGACTATACTCCTGAAAATTCAATATAAAGTATTTAAATACCAATTTAGTATTAAAAAATTGAAAGTAAAGCTAATATTTTTAATTTTTCTTCAACTTTGTTCTTAATTTGAACCTAAAATTTATTTAAAATTTTGATTTTTGATTTTAGTTTCAGTATTAATTTTAACTTTTAATTTAAAATTGAGTTTAATTTTTAATTTTAACTTTAAATTTTTAATTTATAATTTATTCATTAAAGTTAGTCTAAATTTTTATATTTTAAACTAATTATAATTTTTAATATTAATTTAAGTTTCAAATTTACTTTAATTTTAATTTGTAAGTTTAATTTTAACTTTAATTTTAACTTTAATCTTAATTTAATTTAAATTTATTTTTATTATTATTTTAATTTTTAATCTTAATTCTAATTTTAATTTTATATATACATTTTATTTTAATTTTTAATTTAAGTTTAACTTTAATTTTAATTTGAGTTAAAGCTTAATTTTGACCTACTGAAATTTTGATTTCAATTTTAATTTAAATATTAATTTTAATTTTATTTTTAATTTTAATCTTAAATTTATTTATAATTTTAATTTTGATTTAAATTTAAATTTGAATTCAAAATTAAATTTTGGTTTAAATTTTATTTTTATTTCATAATTTTTAGTTTCAATTTTAGTTTTAATTTTAATTTATGTTTAAGCTTAATTTTTGACCTACTAAAATTTTAGTTTAAATTTAAATTTAAATTTTGATTTAAATTTTAATTTAATTTTAATTATAATTTTTTATTTAATTTTAATACTAATATTAATTTGAATTTTAATATTAATTTTAATTTAGTTTTAATTTTCATTTTGATCAAAAAAAAAATTAGAACAAAAGTACATACATTCCCTATCAATTAGTTAATTAGTTACTTCATATAAATCAGGTACATCTGTCGAAAAATTGAATTTTCAACACGCGGAAAAACTCGTCAGTAGAAAAAAGTACTGTGAAATGCGTAGTAAGTGCTAAAATTCACGCTGTATTTCATTATTATGAATGATAATTGAAATCACTGTGTTTTTGTACGAATTTGAATTTCATTTGTATTTGTGTATGTGTGTGTGAGTGTGAGTGTGTTTTATACGCAGATATTGAGTGTAACAGCTGCAGACTGCATTTGTGACTGTGTTGTTTTCATATTGTGATGATATCGGTGGCAATTGTGATGGTTGTGGTCGTGATGGTGGTGGGTGGCGTTGATTGGTGACATACCACGTGATCAAATCAGTGCAAAAAACATTTTGCTTGGGGCTTGAATATTAATTTATCTCAAAATAACAAGGAAACTTATTTTCATTACAATTAAACTGTTGTTTACATTTCTCACTTAAATTTTATGTAAGTGCTCTAAAGCAGTTTTGTTGTTGGGAGAGTGTGTTATTTCCATTAGATTTGAATTTATTGTTTTTTTTTAATTCATGTAAATATGGGAAATTAATTAAGTGCGCTTTTGTCATAGAATTCAGTAAACAAAGTTATACAAAGTTATAAATTTGTTTTTGTACAACAACGACATACTATATAAAATTAATACTTCCATACTTTAAAAATACACAGAAAGCCGTTGAAATCAATAGAAATTTGTTTAAATAAAAAATTAAATTAAAATAATATTAATAATAAAATAAAAAGCAGATAATACAAAATAAATCTAAAAAGCAGTAATAGTTGAAAGCACTACAAATATAAACACATACATACATATATACAAAAGTAAAAGCACAAAAATAAAAATTTGCATTTAACATTTGATTGCTTAACATTTTTTTGCTATTCTGATTTTGATATTTTTTCTTAATTTTTTGTTTGTTTTTTTTTTGTTGATTTTTCAAACATTCTTTACTTACGTCCAGTGAGTGGGTGCATCAATGCAGGATGTGAGGCTGTTGTCGCTGTATTGGGCTGTGGTTTGGGTTTGCTCACTTTCGTGTTACTCTTGGCGAATTCCAAGCGAATTGTTTGGGGCATATCGGGATCGAAACGTACACCCTGCTGCAAATGAGCGAGTACGACGGATAGTAATCGACTTTGCAATTATTTTGTAATCATATATTTCATTCTTTGTTAAGCAAAAAATCCAATATATTTAATAAAACAACAAATGTCGTGTAAAGTAAACTGTTTTGTTAACAAAATTTATTCGAAATTCACGCGAAATTACTCTTTTGCGATAACTCAAAAATGAATTGCGAGATTTTGGTTTTGTACTTTTGAAATTATATTTTTTATGTAAATTGAATTTTATTATTTACTTTTACCATATCGATTTGAAACGCGTCAATTCGCCAAAAATATGTCATAACAATATTTTATCTAGCTCAAAAACTTTTGTGTGTGAAATTGGGTGCTACAAAAGGCACAATTAGGATGAAATTGGCTTAAATATACAAGCTAATATATTTGTTTTTACATTTTTTGGAGGCATGTAGCACTAACGTTCTAACTGTTTGTATTTTAATGAGAGTATGAAATTGGTGGAGACGTTTCTAAAGTTGTACAGCTTCATTCTAAATTTTAGCTGGGAAACTTTAACTGTTCAACGCATCTAACCATTTGTGTTTATTAGTGTATATGTGGGACAGATTTAACCATTTTCAATACTTTGATGAGTTATATGAAATAAATAAATCAGCTCATATTCAAGCACATTAAAAAAACTGAGAAGCCTACGCTTAACTCAAAATAATTGGAAGCTTTTTAAAGCTTTCAGTAACTTATTTTTAGATTGTCTACTTTATTTACTATTAATTATAAGTTTTCAATTAAATATGTTAGACAGAAAAATATTAAAGGATATCATTAACTGATTTCTTTCAAAACTCATTTATTTTAGACATTAAAAATATATTAAAAGCAAGCTTTAACTGTTTCATTTCAAAGCTCATTTTAATTTATTAAGTGCAAGTATCTCCATGTGCTTAAAACTTGAGAGCTTATTAAAAAAACAATTGCACATTTTTAATTATATATGAATGCTTCACTAAGAACTCAAAAATTAGAGAAAATTAGTATATTGCTTATGCCATTGTATATTGTATATTGTTTCGAAAATTTTTTCTCTTATTATATCTGCATTAATATTAATAGTGACTTAGGCTTGAAAGCTGTGACTTACTTATTTCGTTGAAAGTTTATCTTAACGGTGTTAACTTTGTAAAATTGGCTTGTGCCTACTTTTTCAAATGAAAATTTTACGGATTTCCTACATTGTTGAAGCGTTCGATTGTTTTTTAATGGTTTTAAAATTTGTAATATCAGTTAAGTCAATTGATAAAGCTTTTGTGCTGCCTTTTTAGAGCTTTCGCAAGCTTAGCAAATACAGCTGTTGCAACTTTTTCCCAATTAGCTTAGTTAAATAACTAAAATACGTAAATATATGAGATGAGAGTTATTTAACAACAGTCTATAAATCAAAAAATTAACTTTGACACATGAAAGTTCGAGTTTCCACTCAACCCCCTTAAACTATCATTTCTAAAATAGGGAATTTGCTGCTTAGTGTGTGGTTTTGTTGTTGTTGTTTTGCTAGTAGGTTGTGGTTGGCAGTGGCGGTGTTTTCATTTCCCATACATGCACCAGAGCTAAAAACTACTACAAGGATATTTCAAAGTTGAGATGCTTAACAAAAAGTGTTGTCATATTTGTACGTTTGAATGAAAGTTAGATAGATAGATAGATAAACAAAATGGATTAGAAGAGAAGGCGTGTTGGTTGCATTTGAAAACAAAAAAAAAACAAAAAAATTAGAAGAAAACAACTGTTTTAAAAAGAACGGAAAATGTAGGGAATTAAAGCAGTACTGGTGTGAGAGTACACTTGGGATTCGCTGATATTTTTTTTGTTTTAGCTTCTTATTTGTGTCTTTTTGTGGTTGCTGGAAATAGTCACTTTCAAAATAAATAATTTAACGAAATATTTCATATTTTCCATTTATATTTGTTTTTTGTTGTTGTTGCTTTGCTTGCTTTAATCGTGTGCGGCAAGCCACGGCGGTGTGTTTATACAAAAATTTGCAAGGCGTGAATATATTTGTTCATTATTTTAATGGAATATATGAAATTTGCACTTGTAAGTGATTACATAAATACATACACACACATACACAAGGGTACTTTTGAAATGCAAAAGCGCGCATCTTTTAATTAAATACGAATATTGCTGCAGTTTACTTGAAAATGACTATTTCCTTGCCTTCACACATTATTATCATACTCAGCATGATGATTTTGATCTGTAGATTTGGTGTGTTCACTCCAAGCCTGCGTTATGCGAATTTTACATCGATCGTACTAAAAGTAAATTAAGTAGTGTGTGCTGCTCAAAGAAGCAACCCTGCTTGCTATTGGTTTGCTTACGCAACATTTTTTTGCGCTGTTGCAGTTTTTGTTTTTTTGTTAAAATAATTTTCATTGCATTTGAACAAATGTTGTGTGCCTTTATAGCGGTAGGAATTGCATACAAAATAGTTTACATTCTCATATTAAATCTGTTTTCTTGCTTAATATGTTTTTGTTATTGTGATAGCTTTTTTCTTTGCTCGTTTTTATTTGTAATTTCAAAATTAATATTACCTGTAAATCCTGTTTAGCTGCCTCCGCACCGGCTCTGGTGTGAAATGTTACAAATCCGACGGGCTGTAAATTGGCATTGAAGTAAAACCGTTAGTGGCGTATAGTGGGTTATAGGGAGTGCCGTGCCGTAGTGCATTTGGATTTATGCGCTTAATAAATATCAAAATTGTTATTTACTTACCGATGCGGTTTTGCCATTCTTGCTGGTCACCTTTAAGAGCGATCCTTCATAGCCCTAGAAGATAGAAATATGGCAGTGGTTTTTGAAAAATGCTTACGAAATCTATGTAATGAATGTTGGTGTTGGAGTTTTTTGTTATATAAATACAAAAACAGAAATAAAACAAAAAAAAAAAGTTGGTTGTGTTAAAAAATGAATATTATTGTTGCATTCATCTAATTTATAGACAATGTCGTAAAAATCCCAAGACTAATCGGAGTTTTTTTTTAAGTTAAGTTATATGGCTAACGTTAGAATAGGTTGTCATGATAATCCTCATTTAATGCGACACTTTAACAAAAAAAATATTGGTTTATCTCTATGAAAACTTCTTTGCCTAGCTCAGAAAATAAAATTTGGTTATTTAAGTATACAGTGTGTCCCAAAAATAACTGAACATTTAGTATATAAAATCAAATGAATATAATATTATCTTTCAAAGTTGTTATTTAATCAAAATAGCTTCCATTAGACTCAATATAACATTTGGAACGAACAACCAGCACATGGACTTTTTTTTGTCATTTATAAGAATTTACTTCAATACCTCGTTTACGGCTGCTTGAATGGATATCATCAAAAAATGCTCTTTTTATGTTGGTTTCCAGTATTGGAAATAGAAAATAGTGACATGATGATTGTTCTCGGTCACTACATTGGTCTCGTGAGCTGGTGCATTATCGTGTAATAAAAACAACTGTTTTCCTGTGGGATATTCAGACCTACCACGATCAATTCTTTTTTAGAAACGCAATATTGAGTTTTTAGAAACGCAATATTGCCTATAGTTGTTGTAATCTCACGCGAGGTCACATGACGATCTTGCAATACCAGTTTCTGCATAGCATTAATAGTTTCCAGAATAACAACAGATTTTGGACGACCTTCACGAAATTCGTCTTGCAGGGATCTACGATCCTCATTGAATTCACCATACCATCAATAAATTCTGATTCTTGATGGAGCTTTATCGCCAAAAATTGAATTAAGTTCATCGATGCGCTGTTGCTGACTTAATCCACGTCGAAAGTTGTAAAGAATAATCACGCGATAGTGTTCGCGCCTTAATTCCATTTTTTTTTTTACCGAGTTGAATATTTTAAATTACTGTAAAACACAAATAGCGCTCGTATGTCAAAACGTTCTGAGCATATATGGTATAACATCAAAAACGTCAAACTTTGCGATAAAGTTGGGAGTTGCGAGATTGCAACACTAGGGTTGCCATATCCCAAAATATAAAAGTCAACCTAAGTATTTAATCAAAATCTTCAGTTAAAATACACTAAATCGTATTTTATTCATATTTAATCCCTTAGCCAACATTCTCGTAGAAAAATTTGCATCGATACCAACAATTTCACGAACTTTTTCCACCAATTCAGCACTAGCTTCTGGACCATCTGACTGTTGGTCGTCACTTAAATCCACGCGAACATTTTTAAATTTTGTAAACAACATATAAACTTGAGTACGACTTAAACAATCATAGCCATGCACTTTTTCAACTATTCGTAGGTGTTAGGGAACTTTTGTTAAGTTTAACACAAAATTTTATATTTGCTCTTTGTGAAAAGAGTTTTTTCTTTTATTGAGCTTTAGTTAGTTATTGCTTTAGATAATGATCTGTTCCAAATTCTCTGTTGGTCCGATATCGGTCATTCCGACAAATGAGCAGCTTCTGGGTATGAAATGGTCATGTTCTAAATTTCAGATCGACAGCTTAAAAACTGAGGGACTAGTTTGTGTATATACAGACAGACGGACAGTCGGACATGGCTAAATCAGCTCAGCTCATCAAGCTGATCATTTATGTATATATTTTTTAGGATCTCCGACGTTTTCTTCTTGGTTCGTGACAAACTTAATATAACCTGTTAAAGGAATAAAATAGAGGTTATTACGACTAGAGACGTGCGCTAGAGGTTTAAATTATACTCTCTAAAATTAAAATTATATATGTTTTTATATATGTTTAATTCTGCTTAATATTTGTTCAATAATACGAAATGTCAAAAAAAAAGATTCTGATCTTTGTTATCGTTTTGAAAAACAAAATTTCTTCTTTAATTTTTTACAGAAACACATTTTCAAATTCAGTTTTTTGGTATATGAATAAGTAATTTTGCTATAAATCAAAATAAATTCACCACTCACCTCATAAGCTCTGAATAAAAGGTAAAGTTCGCGTGGTTTTGCGTCCATTGGCAAACCGCTAACGAAGAGGGTGCGAACCTGAAAATAGATTAATGAAAATAATACATAAATATTAGTTGCACACATTAAAATTATATTAAAATGTGGTGGAAAACACACACATACAAATTTATGAGAATTTTTTTGCTGTCAAAAACGCGTTACACACTCTAAAATCCATTTTAAAAGCATACAGTTTCGCTTCGTAGTTTAGCTGGAAAATGCCGCAAAGTTCAGCAAAAAAAATTAAGCATTGCACTTTACATGCATGAAAGCAATTTTCCACGATAGCGTAATTAACTCACACCTTCGCGCTGACGACACATCAGCGCGTCTGACAGCTGACGGCAGCAAGCACGCACACATATACATTATGCAAACAAAAAGGCGCTATTAGCTTGAGTGCGTGTAGCGTATGTGTGCGTACGCGCAGTTGAAAATGCAAATGTTTGAGTGCTCTTCGGCACTCTCAAAAGTTCATGTGTGATGTTAACAACAATATCAAGCGCGCAAAAGAGAATACAAAAAAGTATAGAAACTACAATTGGGAAGCCGAAATAGCTGCAAAGCAATTATGTAAGCATGTGCATAAATGAATATTTGTATGAGCGGGTGTGTATGTGTGCGCGCGCGCCTGAGTGGTGCAGCAAATTAACAGTAAAATCACTTGGGTCACATCATGACCGAATGAACGCCTTCACACAAAAACACACACACGCGCGCGCGCGTATATGTAGTTTCGCTTGTCATTGCGCTCCTTTCGACGCGTATACCAAAATCCTTGCCATACTAAGTACATAATTTGTATATACACACATATAGTATATACATATATAGAGGTGCTACGTGTATCTGCGGCTATGCGCGAGCCACCAGTGTCATCTGCGCTACCATGCCAAGTGTGAGAAAGAAGCTCTCCAACTAAATAAGCATTATAAACGTTGAATTCATTAAGCGAATTACGGGTGGGACGCTAAAGGGTAACAGGGTAACAGGGCGTGAACTTTACGAGATTCGGGGGCAGATAGTGTGGCGTTAACGTCCTATAAAGCCCGCTAGCAGCTCACATATGCATATATATGTCTGTATGTAGGTATAATTCAATGTATGTGTGTGCTTATGAGGCGAAACATAAATGTAACACCTTTGTTGATAGCGATCGTGTTGACAATGGAATTCCTCTGGCTGATGATTGCTGCCTGACGCTGATAGACAACACATTGCCAAAAGACAAGTGAAAAAGCGTTGATATTTTTTAATACATATACATATGTATATATGTATATTAATATAGATGATATATAAATAACATAAGTTGAGTTGAGTTCACATGTGTGCCGTTATGTATGTGTGTACTAATTTGTATGTAGTGGAGCATATGAACATTTTGTTTAAGCTGGAAAACGTGTTCTATCGGGAAATCTGTTGTGTAATTTAGAGCAGATGACTTGTCACAACGCACATGTTGCACTACATACATGCTTAGACAGAAATATATTTATGTGTAGGTATGTATGTTTCCACAGTTTTCCTGTGCATGCAAGGAAATGTGATGGTTTTGAACTGTTGAGCAGCTGATGAGTTTGTTACTGTTTCAAATTTTCTAAACTAGTATTTTAAATTTAAAAGTGTTTTGCTTAATTCGATTAAATTTATCTAAAATAATGAGTGCGACATATTTTTATAATTTTTTTAATCGCTGTTATTATTACTGAGCATAATTTTAAATTTTTTGCAGTTAATTTATTTTTCATTCAATATTTATCAGTTCTAAAACTTTACTTCTAAACATATATATACTTTTCATACATCAACATATAAATACTTAATACGTTTGTAAAATTATTATAAACCTAAGAGAAATGGGAGAGAGAACTCAATCCAACAATTTTAAAAAAATTGTATGCACTCTTATGACATTATTTTGAAGTGCCATGCAGCGCTGTTTTAATGCGCGCAACTAATACTTTAAGCCATTGTTGCCGCTATAGTGAAATAATGTTTGTAAAACTATTGAATAAATATGTGAAATGTAAAAAAATTATTATACATCTCATATACAATTTTGTTTGCACATATTTTCTCTTTTAGGTGGAGTAAACCGATGTATGTATATGCTTTGAATCCTGTTGGAAAATCATTGAAAAACCATAAGTAAAATTTCTAAAGTAAAATGAGTTGAGAATTAAAAAACAAAAAATAAGAAAGTGATTTTGTATAGAGCTTATTAAAACAAACTAGTTTTGTAATGGCAACTGCTACGAACAATGTTATTACTGATAATCAAATAATTTACCGATAATAAAAATATATTATTTTTAATAATGTCACCATAAAATATAACAAATATAACATTTCTGCATTAAAATTAACATAATAGAAGTTTTTAACATTAACTAAACATAATGCTGTAATATGACATTACGACAATAACAGCAGAGAATGTTAAAGAATGTTTCCACAGTTTCACAGAATGTGTAACATGCTCTGGTAACAGTGGCCTCCCATTTGCGCTCTGATGAGTAAATATTTTATATAAACGGCTTTGTTAGTTGCATTCGGATAGAGAATAAAAGTGCTAACAGAAATTTTATCATTACCGAAAAATTTTTTAGCAATGAAAAACGCAATATTTAATAGCAATATTTTGAAGAAACACGCTTGAAAGCATGCTAAATGTTAAACAATTTCATTTCTTTAAATGCTTTCTCTATAACTAAAATGCTCAGTATCTACCTATAGTAATGTGCAAAGTTATTTAAAATAATTTTTTTTCACATATTTTTTATTTACAAGAAATTTCCTAGACACCATGACTATTTGTACATGCATATCTGAGTACATACAGACAAAATAATTTTAGTATAGCATTTATGTATCATACATTCAAGGCTTCAATATCGCAGGCAACAAAAAGAGTTTAAGGACATCAGCTTGCCTTGTGTGAGCTATGTGTTAAAACGTAAGTAAGTATACATATATAATGGTTTACAGTTCAACAGACGAGTGTTTTAAATCTGACAGCTTTATTTTGATGGCATTACACGAGATCAAATTGACCTTTGGCTAGCCTCAGCACTTGACATATGCATGTACGTATAACTGATTAACATGCCTTTTTTGTTATTTTAAAATATTACATGAAGAATACATGGCTTTAAATTTAAATCAGCTTTAAACTTTAGATGATGTGAATGAGACCTTGAAGTGAAGTCCACGCATTTGCAAATTAGCTGTGATATTCGCTAAATTCGAAAAAATCATCTATTCAGCGATATCTATTCAGTATGTTCAATTAAAACTATTTAAGCTAAACAAGTCTCACAAAAATCAGCAATTTTTAGCACTTAAATCAAAACAAAAACAGAAAAACAAATGGAGTTCATAAATCTTCCATACTTTCATGCGCGCAAATTGATTTAAAATGTTGCTGAAAATACTCTTTTTTATGTGAAAAGTGTTCTAATTTATATCATTAGCCTGCACGTAATTTGAAATAACTATTCGTCATTTCATATTACCACAGTTTGTGGCAAATGCGTTCCGCTGTGGTGTTATGCTTTTGAAAATCACGAAATTAAAATCATTAATCAAGCAGCAGTCGGAATGTGTAACGTGCCATTTCCCGTTTCGAACATTCCCAACAGCATGCGGAAAATGCAACATTTCGTATTATATGCATATAGTACAATACTTGTATGTATATGCGTTACCACCGCACCTGCAACAATGTTAATTGCCGCTATAGACGGTAGACTTGCAACATGGTTTTAATTGAATTTTTATGAATTACGAGACTCGTGCAATGCAGCGAAAGAACACGCCAAAATATAGTGCTTGAATTAATATATGGTTGCTCTACATACTAATATGCTTTATACATTAGGGTGCTCCGTAGTGACTATGTATATTTAGCTTATAAAATAATTCGGATCTTGGCGATTAGTTTTGAGATCTTAAAGTCTCATAACTAGTTTAAGAGACTCTCATGAATTTCATATGTTTCATGGGTGATATGAAATGCAATATTATAGTTTGTTAGCTACAAAAATGAACACTTTAATAAGCTTTTCTTAAATCTAGGTGATATTTATTTCTTGTTCTAACTATCAGCGCTTTGTTGAGAATTCCTTAACATGTGCCATTAAATTCTTAGACCTTAGTCGAAAAAAAAATAACTAAGAAGAATTACTGTCTCATTTCATTGCGTCGGAGATAAAAATTTACGAGGCTCATTCTGAATGTAGTTAGTGCAGTTATGTTGTTTTACCTTATCCGATATAATTTTCACAGCAATAGACTTTCCAAAAAATATATATATGAACAAGAAAAAACTTGAACTGCGCTTGCATCGAAGCTGTAATACCCTACACAAATACAAAAGTATGCATACAAGAACTTAATTTTGATATTAATTCTGAATACTTACATATAAAAATTTTGTACAATAAAATTTATAGTAAATATTATTTTATACTGGTTTATAAAAATTATGATAAATAAAAATAATTAATGTTATGCATTTTTCAATTCGTTATGCTTAACCTAATGTCTCTCTTACTATTTAAACACTTCGTAAACTTGATTTGAAAAATTTTTGGAAAATAATCAAGCAAATTGCCACATCGCATGAGAAAACGCGAGCGCCTGCTACACATAACCTATGTACTTAGCTGAGTGCTATAATATAAATAGAAATGTGTTAGTTTGTAACGAAATAGTTCTTCAGAGAGTTTCAAGTTCGCAGCTGCTGCTGAGTAATTTTGGAAGACTAATTAGGCACCATGATTGTGAAAAATTAATGTAACAGGAATCAAAGTACAACTTAAAAATAAACGAACACACAAAATTAAATATTTAAACAAATTTACAAAGCCTATTACATACTAAAATACTCGTTCAGCTCTCGAGTAAATTTTTTCTTATTTGTTTTTGTAATTGAAATATTTATTTATTTTTGTTTGCTGATTTTCTCGCTTTGCTGCGCATAAAATCTCCACTGGTCCGTCATGGCAGCATTTGTAATTAATCTTGCGAGT